GAAAGACTGAGAAATAGCTGGCCATGGAGGTGAGGCTCGGGTTGTTTAGCTTACAGCACTCTGAGTGCCTCCTGCCAGCCTGACCACAGTTCCCTGACCGTAGATGTCTCCCGTTGTCGTCCGTCACCCAGTCACTGTGGGAGTTCAACACCCGGAGCCCTGAGATGAAGTCAGCCCGGGGCTGCTCTGAGTCCCAGGTTCAGTTGGCCCCTCCCTAAAATGGTGCCCGACCAGGTACCCTCTCCAGGGTTTATGGCAGACGCTTGGACTGGAGTCTCCCACCAGCTGATGCAGCGTGCGGTATTCACTGCCCTGTTGCATTGGTGTATTCCTTCCGTGTGGCCCCTGGAGGGCCCCTGCCTGCTTTCACTGTGTCTCTATCTTCAGTCTTCCTTTCTCTGGCTGTGAACCAGGAGCCAGGGAGAAAGTGATTGTCCTTTACTTTTCCTTTTTTTTGTCTTTTTGAGACAGGGTCTCACTATGCAGTTCAGGCTGGTCTTGAGCTCACTTTGTAACCCAGGCTGGTCTTGAACTCACAATGGTCCTCCTGCCTCAGCCTCCTGAGTGCTGGGATTACAGGCATGTATCACCACACCTGCCCAAGTCCTTTCCTTTTTCTGCATTGTGGTCTGACTGGTCGGTTTCTCCGTAGGCTCCTATTTTTCCTTCAGTTCCTTCCTGGGTCCCAGGAGTCCACCCATTTGTGTTCTTCCCCAAGTTGTTATTTTCCAGTGTGTGGGTTCGGAATCTTGGAGAGGCTGCATTGTTGCTGCTTGCCGCTCTGCCATCTTCCTGGTGCTTTCCATTCTTCTAAGTGTTTTTGCTCTTACCATAGCAGGCCTTATGTCTTAAGTCCCCTCAGCACCTTCTGGAGTTTGTACAGAAAATGAAACAGATCTGCTGTACATTGAGACCCTTTAGAACAGCGTGACCCCCTCCTTGTGAGAGGCTGGAGAGGTACCTGGGGTTGGTGAGCGGAGACCAGTGTGCTGTAATGACTTCCTGTATCCACTGCTCCCTTTGTCCGTGCTGCTGTTGTCTTATCAGCAGTGGGTGTGGCAGAGTCCCCATACAGCCCTGCACTCCTTCCCTGTCTCCTGATAAAGTGGTGCATTGATTTCTCAGGAGAAGCGGGAAGCCCTGCCTTTCACTGTATGCAGCGGTGGATTTCACTTTTTCTTTTAACTGAGGCCTCATCCTAAACCATCTCCGCTGCTTCTCTACTGATTTTCTCGGTTTTGCCTCTGGCCGTGGTTGTTTAAGAAGTTTACATTTTCATTAGTGCCTCTTTGCAGTAGACAGTGATGATGGTCACTGTGGGGAGCTGGTGCCTGGACTCTGCTGGGCTGAAGAGGAAATTAGCCGGCCAGGCTCTCTCCAGACTTAAGCAGCTGCTGGTGGTTTCTAACTCCACATCCGAGGCCCCTGCATAGTTAGCTTTTCTGGAAGGTTATGGTGAAAGATACTTGTTGTGTATTTCTACCTCTCTTCGAAGGGATTGCAGAGAGTCTGCCTCCTGATGATGGTTGCTGATTTTCCTCAAGCGGTTTTTATGTAGAGGATCAAGCTCCAGTCCTTGGCTAGAACACATTTTCAAATCTGGGTGTAAGTGCAGTAGCTGTGGATGAGGACCACGCTGTGAGCCACGTGGTTTGGGTGTAGCAGTCAGGAATGTGATTGAAGGGGTCTGCGTTGTACAAACCTACTTTTCTGAGCCTCGGTTTCCTCATCTGTAAAGTAGGGGTGATCATGACTACCTCCTTGGCTTGTTGGGAAAGTGAAATGAATTATTGCAAATAAAATGCTTGTTATGGGTGGTGTCCAGATGCCTCCTCAAAGCCTCATGCGGTCATAGGTGGGGATTTTCAGAGGCAGCTAGGTCTGGGGTGTGTGACGCTGGGATTAAGTTGGTGATGCTGGGACTAAGGGTGTGTGATTACTGCATTAGTCCACTGATCGGTTTGGCATAGTTCTGGGTGTTACCTGCCCGGGTAGCCTGGATAGAACATAAGGGACGGAAAGAGGGCTGCTGCTGCTGCTGCTGCTGATTGCTTGCTGCTTTCGCTGCCTCTGCCTGCGGTGAGCTCTCTCCTCTGTGATGTCTGTCTGCCATGCCACCCTGCCTTCGAGCCAGCTGATCATGAACTGAAATGTCTACAAACCATGAGTCTAAATAAACCTTTCCTCCTTTAACTTTGGATATTGGGTGCTTTGTCTCAGCGAGGAGAAAAGTAACAATACTGGGACACAGAGGAAATTGTCAGACGTTCTTGTTTTTGTTTTTAAATTCTGCTACTGATGGCATTGTTTTTTATTACCTGGGTTAAGTTGTGGCTTCTAATAGCTTTTTTCTTGGAGCTAATCTATAAAGGGGAGGAATTCCTCAGGAGACAGCTGGGGTCACTGGTGTGACGATCAAATGGGCCGAGAGTCTTTTTGCTCTTGAGAAGTGTGGTACGCACCGTAGCGTGATGGGCGCAGGGCTTTAGTTTGCGCTTCAGTCGGTACTGTCAGCATGCGTGTGAGCACCTCCTCAGTCAACACCAGAAAGTGCGTCACCCCAGAAGGTTCCCCACTGCTCTTTCTGGTCGTGTTTTGACAATTCTGGGGCATCTACTTTCCTGATTTCTATCTCTTGTAGGTTAGTGGTGCTTTAATAAATTGATTTCTTTTTCTTTTAAACTATCTTTTGCTTTGTTGCCTAGTCTGATCTTGAACTCATGCACGCAAGTGATTCTGTCACCTCAACTCCCAAATAGCTGGGGTTACAGGCGACAGGCATACCACTGTGCTTTGCTCAGTCAATCAACCAATCAATCAACCAATCAATCAATCTCTCTCTCTCTCCATCTCTCACTGGGTGTTGAGCACAACTCCTCAAGCATGCTAGGCAGCTGTGGTATCCCTGAGCTACATCCCGAGTCCTTTTTATTTTTTATTTTGAGGTAGGATCTTGCTAAGTTGCCCAGGCTGGCCTTGAACTTGCACCTTCCTTCCTGCCTCAACCTCCATAGTAGTTGGGTTTTGGGGTATGCAATAGCACACCTGTTAGTAAATCTCTTTTTTATGTACAAATTTTAAAAAGGACTTAGCACCTTCCAAACTGGTTGCCTGTCTTATCACTGCTGTGAGTTCTTTACAAGCTCAGGCAGTCCGGTCCCCCTCCCACTGAAGCTCTTCCTCAGTATCTGTGGATGGTAAGGACCTCCGAAAGCAACAGTTGGAATCTATTTCTGGATTACATTTGCATCTCTTTGTAAAGAAGTTTCTAGCCTAAGGGATAGCGTATAGGATTAATGAGAACTGTGTGTGCTTGAGTACATGAATGTGTGTGTGCATGTGTGTGTGTGTGTGTGTGTGGGCGCGCATGCTTGTAGCTGGCCTGATAACGTAGTGGTATTTATTTGCAGCATGGAGGCTAGTGAGCACAGCCACTCTGTATAATCACGTGCTTGCCGTTAACATCAGTGGGATCTACCCAGGCCCAAACAGGGAGAAACAGAGACCGGAACATTTGAAAAAACAAACAGCAGCAAACACCCAGGTTCTGGCTTAGAACAACAAAATGACAGCAGGGGCGGGAGTCCAGCCTGGGCCTGAGCTTCCTACAGTGCTATCTCCTGCCTGCCCTCTGTGGGCTGGAGGCCTCTGCTGTGAACGCACCTGCTTTCCTCCGGCCGGAGGAGCTTTGCTCTCCCTCTGATGGGACACAGGAGTCATCCCTTGTGAAGAGGTATGTCTCTGGGAGAGCTTCATAAAGCAGCATGTCTCTGATTAGGTTTCCATAAAAGAGCGGCACAGCGCCTGCCTGGCAAGCGCAGGGTCGTGAGTTTGATTCCTGGTACCGGAAAAAAAAACCAAAAAAAGATTTCAAGTTCTTGGAGTTGAAATTAATATATTTCACAGGATAAGTGTTATGCAAATGAAATTCTCAAGGCACCCCCTGCCAGCCCCTGGGCGGTTGTGCCGTCTCTATTTAAAAAAGAACTGTCTTTCGAGCTTTGACAGAGAGCGGACGGGAGGGAGGACTAGAAACATGGACAGCCTGAGAGTATAAGAAAGTGAACGCCTGTTTTTGTCTGTGCCAATAGCAGAGCAGAAAGTCTGGATTGTAAACAGAGCCTTGCTCTGGGTACCTCCCCTCCCCCAGCAGATGACTTGCGGCGCTGGACGTAGGGGAAGGTTTTAATTTTTATTAGTGGGTGCTTATAGAACCCGCACTGTCATGTGATTTCTTCGTGAGACCTTACAGATAAGGATAGAGTCTCTTCAAGTCCTTTCTAATCCCCCTTCCTCCCATAGGACGGGGAAGCATACAGCAGTGCTCTGGCTTTGTGGTTTACCTGCGTGGGGGGGGTGTGTGTTCCTGGGGGACTGAACCCAAGGCCTTCTCACTGAGCTGCATCCCCAGCCCTTTCATTTCTTACTCTGAGACTGTATTTTATGAAGTTGCCCAGTCTGGGCTTGCGCCTGTGCGGTCAGCCTCCTGGAGGGCTGGGACTGCAGGCGCGTGCCTGTGTGTTCTCGAAGGGTGGTCTCCCTTCCTCGCTGTCAGAGCCACGGACGGGTCTTGCTCTTTAGCTGCTGCCTGGTGCTCCTTGCCATTGGCGCTGTCCACCCGTGATGGAGAGTGATGTGGCAGAGGACAGTGAGACTTCCTGCATTTGGATCCCCCTGATGACTTACTTGGTGGCTTTCTGTCCAGCCCAGGGGCGTGAGAGGCCTCACTCCGCAGTCACTGTCCATTACCTGTGGGGGGCACTTTGTGTTTCTAGGCTCCTTCCCCTCGTGTACTCTGCAGTGGTGAATGTGGATGTCCTGGTCGCGGGTGTCATCGAGTGTGGTCCCTCAGCGAGCCCTGGAGCGGGTTGCCGGGGGCAGTGGTGCTGCATGTGGAATACTTCACAGGTCCTCGCCTGCTGCCTGCGTGAGCGGCCTCCTGCCTTTTCTGCCCACAGGCAGCCTCAGCGGGGCTCACCCTCTGTCCTGTCTCTCTGCAGGGCTTCGTGCTGGCTGTCACCATCATCCGTGAGGCGGTGGAGGAGATCCGATGCTACGTGCGGGACAAGGAAGTCAACTCCCAGGTCTACAGCCGGCTCACAGCAAGAGGTCAGCCTCCAGGCTCCGGGGCCACAGGGTTGCAACTCAATCACAGGCCGCTGACAGTCGGGACCAGAGTTCAAGGCCCAGGCTGTGGTGCGCCGCGTGGCCTGACAGCCGCTCAGTAGCTTGGGCACCGGGAGGCCTCCGTGTGTCTGGGCCTGGCGGGACCTGGCAGTGTCCCTGGGTTCAGGCAGCCTGCACCAGCCCCTTAGAGTCCTGTAGATAACTTGCATGTCATCGGCCTGCGTCTGGAATTAAATCCTGTGCCTTCTCTGGCTTGGCCCCTCCCTCTCCCCCCTGGCCCTCCTGTTCCTGTGGAGGCTGGGCGGGGGCTGCACAGTCCTGAGGGGCAGACAGCGGTCAGGAATCCTCCTGCACCAGGGGTTACTTTACCATCAAATCAGACCCTGCAGCATTACTTTGTACAGATGCTGCATCTGTGAAGGAATTTTTTTTTTTTTTTTTTTTTTT